AAAGACGCAGGTTTCCAGGTTTTTTAAAGAGATTCAAGATATTCTTCAATCTCCTGGTTGAGATCGTTGCTTTCATTTCCACCATTACTGGCAGCTTCGTCTTGATTGTCTGCAATAGCTCCATCAACAAGCTCCCTATGGAAGTTTTCGTAATAAGCTTTGGCGTCCATGGCGAACAGTTCGACAGAGCAGCCAACACAATGAAAGTGAGAACAGAAAACGAACCGCCTTATAAACAAAAGGCTACTGCTTTGTCTTTTTGACAAACATGCCGCAGTCATCTCTTGCCTGGCAGTTCTTTGCTTTCACAACTAACCGCCGAAGAGGACCTGCCTCGACATCTGTGCTGGACCTAAAACAACCATTCGAGTCGACATTTCTGACAAGAGCTGCCACACGAGGTGGGGGTAGAAGGTCCTCTTCCAAATGTCGAACAGGCCGCCCTGTAGGAAGTCGATTGTGGCACCAAGTTGAACTTCGCTCAGTTAAGAGAATCTGACGCCGGTCTTGCCAATCTTCAGCGATGTGAGAAAGTGCGGTCGTACCACTGTCTGCCCCCTGGAGTGGCATTTTTTCAGCATTTTACGAATGAACCTTCCTTGAACATGAGGAGATCCTTTATGAAGACGAACTTGTTTTTCTCATCGTCAAAAATGAAGACATCTTTGGCCCGTAGCTCCCTCTTGAGGTCTGTGAAGAGCGACAGATCTTCCACGTCCCCAGCCATGAAGATGCAGCACTTGAATCGTCTGTAGGGGATGACCGCAGCACCTTTGGTGAGTGCCTGGTAGAGAATGTCGTTCGTCTTCACATCCCTCCGGTCGATGATGGTGTGGCAGATCGGGTCTAGGTACGGCTCTGACGCTGACTAAGCAATTGCAGGCCTGTAGCACGTGCCGCAGAAACCCCGGAAACTGGTTGCCGGCTTCTTGTTGGTCAGTGCTTCCCACCTGTAGATTTCGTTGAAGTAATCGTCCACAGCAAACCTTTCGGGGAAATTTGAAGCAATAGCGTACTCCAGCAACTTGTCCAGGATATCCTCGGTGTCTGCAACACATGGAGAAAAAACAAGAGGTAAGAAAACTGAGTAGCCGCGGGTAGCGATTGTCTGACCCCTGGAGTGGCAAGCAGTCTGGAAACCCAGACCCCTCTCTCCTACGGACCAGGCCGAGGGTAGCGAATGTCGCCAACTGCCAACGACCTGCAAACAGCGCCGTGCATTTTTGAAAGACGTCGGGGATGCCGAGCCCCCCGCTGCCTGGCGGCGTGGCGCACACGTCCATCGGGCTGGTGAAGAAGTTCCCTCGCCAGAGGAACCTCCTCGCTGCCCCGGTGATGTCCCTGGAGATGGTGCGACTGATTGGTAGGACCTGTGCGACGTGCCACGCCTTGGAGAGCCCGTACATCTGCACGTACTGCGCGCGATGCTGCAAGCCGAGAGCGCGCGCCGCGTTCTTCTTGAGGACGCCCCTGATGCACGCCCTCACCTCCCAGTTAATGCGGATGGTCGTGCGGACGTCGGCGCACAGCGAACAGTTTCTTGTGAAATTCACAAGAAACGACGTGAAATTCCACGTGCACCAAAACTGCGTGAAAATCACGTGAAGTTGGCTCGAACCTTGTGAAAATAGCTCAGAACGCGTGAAATGTCAGAGCTGCTGGCTGGTGCTTCGAGTCCCGGCCGCGGCCCTGGCATACTTTTTTTTTTGATCATTTCCGTCCGAGGTAGGATAGCACCAGGTCGGTGCAGTGGACTCAGACATAGCCCACTCGGCCGAGCTCACTAAGGCGTGTGAAACTGAGCCTGCGATCTCGGGTTCGACTCGCACCGACTGCCGATACTTTTATTCTACCATTTACCACTCTGACTTGATAGCCACGGGTTCAACACCTACCAGCGACAATAGGAGAATTTCATTTTTCATTTCGTGTTGTATTTCGCCCAGTCTAAGAAAGACTAAAATCGGGGTCTGTACATACGCACTGGAAGCAGTGCCATTAGCCGAGCTCGCTAAGTGGAATGCTATGCAGGTGGCGGCCTCATGTCCAGTCCATGTCCATTCCATATCCAGTCCATGACCAGTCCATGTCCTTAAAATATTGTATTGCTAATGAATGGTAGTTGCGGGACCTCGGTGGCCGTCTGTCCAAATGTGTGTAATGTTCTTTGTTTGTCCAGTCCATGTCCAGTGGACGTCTCTTAAATATTGTATTGCTAATGTATGGTGGTTGCGGGACGTCGATGCTATCGTAGATCCGAATAAAAAACTTAAGTGCGTGAAAATCGTTCCATTCATTTCCGGGACTGGAATCCGAAACTCGCTGGGCGCCTCGACTTCGGCCGAGCGAAGAATTCGAAAACAAAAGAGCGATTTCCGCCGGGATTCGAACCCGGACCCTGCGGTCGCCAGATCGACCCTTTAGTGATCGCGGCTGTGCGGACGTGTTGGGGGACGTCTTAACAGATCCCGATTCTACCATAGATCTAAAAGAAACCCAAATAAAATTAAGAAAATGGACGCGACCGCTGGGTCTTGAACCGGCGTCCTCTTGTGCGTCAACTACACGCCTTAGACCACGTACCCAAAGGTGACGACTACGAACTGTTCGGAACGTGCTCCGTCCTGCTCTCCGCTTTGGCTCAATTTAAACATAAAAAGAAGTTGAGGGGGGGGGGCACTTTGCCGGGAATCGAACCCGGGATTAGAGGCCACCTGACGCCGGGCGAGGCGCGACTTCGTCCGAGCGAAGAATTCGAAACCAAAAGAGCGATCTCTGCCGGGGATCGAACCCGGGCCCTGTGGCCACAAGATCAACGCCTTAGTGGTCGCGGCTGCCCGGACGTGTTGGGGAACGTCAGCACAGATCCCGGTGCTACCAAAGATTTAAAAGGAAACGAAAAATGTAAAAAAGACGGAGGCGGCCGCTGGGTCTTGAACCTGCGTCCTCTTGTGCTTCAACTACAGGTCTTTGACCACGCACCCAAAGGG